TTTTATAAATGTTATTTTGTTAATTTCTTGGTGATGGGTGTGTGGGGGGGTGCTGGGGGTTGAGGGTGGAAGTACACACTGATAAATATACATTTTATCAAAGCAGGACAACATCATAATCAACCTGCATCATCTTAATGATTAATGGCAAAGAAATTAACAAAATAACATTTATAAAATGTCCATAAAATGAAACTGAGAACCACCACAGTAATTTAACTCTCTGAATGTTATTAACTGATATTAAATTGAACTATAGATAATAACTGTATTGGTACTTGCTGTAGGTGTAATGTTATTCCCCTACTTTGAAACTACAGGCCTAAAATTACACCTACAGCAAGATTGAGAAAATACAAACAAACACTGCCCCCTTCTGGCATGGCATGGGTATGACATGTGGACTACATTCTTGGCTTAAAGGCAGGAAAGTGTGTCATTTTTTGCCGTTACATGGATTCTATACATCATGATTTTAACTCCCTTCTATTGTAAAAACAAAACAACAACAACTTTGGTACTATATTGAGAAGAACCTTCAGATGTTGGTGTCAGAAGTATAATTTCTCCTATATTGGCACAAACCCAAATCTAAGAAATGGAGGTAACATCATTCTAGGTCAAAAGGAACCGCCAGATCGTGTTTGGCCTTGATATAGACCTACAGCCCATAACGTGACAGATCCACATTAATAACTATGTCTTTGTTAATGTTATTAGAAAATTCAGTGCTTCTACTATCAGTTACATTCCCTTTGGCTTCACAGCAAACTCTGGTCTCAAGTTACCTCACATAACAGTGATTTCACTCCGATAGGCATACAGATGTTAAAGAGGATGGAAAAGAGTGCACTGGTATTGGATTGGTATTCGGTATCAGAGGTACTGGGACCGGTATCGGAAGAGAAGAAGTTTTATTTACATTCCCCAAAAACATTAGCAGTTCCCAGAAGTACTCAGACATATAACTTATATAATACATTTTCCAAATTCTATGATATAAATCATATCTTTAATAAATGATCAAAAGAAATAAAGTAGCGCGACTACAGCAATTGAATAATCTACAATAATGAAAAGCATAATGATTGATTAGATGATGGTCAAACTGTAAATAACAAACAACACATAATGATTTTGTGTTGGGAGCAGTTTTGCGACACTAAGTGGAGCTCACTTCACCAAGTTAGACAGCTGTATTACTGCAGAACAGCACTAGGTGATGCTGTATGATCACTGGAACAAGTTTCCAAATCTCCAACAGAAGCCACGGAAGCCACGATGGCTCAGACCGGGTTCTCCATCAAAACACCACCTTTCCCTGATTCTCATCTACTTGAGGGGGAAAGCTGCAAGTTACCCAGAACCTGTCACATATCACAAGCCTGTTAGTTGTGAAGAAATGCAGCCCCCCACCACACAAAAATGCAGTCTCAACATCTGGCACAGTAAATAAATAATCCCGTGTGCACGTGTGTGTGTGTGTGTGGATGATGGATGGGGGAATGGGGTGTTATCAGGGAGAGCATGTATCAATGTCTGCCAGTTTTATACACAGGCTGACAGGACAGTGACACACTAGAACATGGGCGGCAGTCACCCAGACGAGCAGAGCTTCATTTCCTGTCCCTGCTCCACTGCCAAAAATATGTGACATGTTGTCTTCATTAATTCCACCTCTATTTGGAGCTCTCCCTCTCACACCTCTCACGTACCCCCTTGTACACTACTGTCCCTCCATACATTCACATGGCAACACACACACAAGCAATGCGCGGGCACAGAAACACACACACGCACAAACACTGAACGCCCATCATGCATAGGTGCTAATGAAAATCTTGTCATGTGTGCATTCCCGCCCTAGCATACTCCCTCTGAAAATCATTAGCCAGCCGCCAACAACATTTTTCAGCAGAGCAAACTACATAAAGACGTCACTTTAAATCGCGTACTAATTAACACTTAAAAAGACACAAATTAGATATGCGTGGCTAAAAGCAATTATAATATCCGCAAGTTTTGCGAGTCATTTGGGAAATGAAAAGAATGCCTAATTGCTGGAACCAACATCATCCGAGACATGGCTTAAGTGATGCCTGTTAGGAAATGGTCTTATCTACAACTGTGGCTGTGATTACAACAGTTTTCCTCAATTACATGTGCATATATAGAATTCTTCATATTACATCTCTTTCATGAATCTGTACTTTTTAATGGGTTTAGAAAGAGGCAATTAGGTTTCTGTGTTGAAAAGCGCCTCCAGTTTCTGAAGAGGGTTTAAAAAACCCTCCAGAGTTAAGCACAGACAGCGACCTCTTCTGGACAACAGAAGAAGGAAACGCTCAGCAATATTCAGAAAACTATGGCACCATGTCTTTCCCAAAAAGAGCTTTTTTTTCTGACATTCTAGATTGTTACTTTCTGGCTTTGTATTACTAAGGATGAGCTGCTACTTCTGCAGAGCCCGGGAGTGCAGAAAGCATAGCGGTCATTAGATATATAGTGGAGCATTGATAGAGAAAAACAAGCAAAACTAGACAAAGAAAAGAAAGAAAGACAATAGTTCAGACATGCATCACTTTCTAAAAGAAACGCCTCTGCTGTCCAGCATGTCTGCCAGAATATCACTGACTATATTTCCCTCCTTGTTCTGCAGATATCGGTGTGGGATAATAATAACAGGAGAGAAGTAAAAATAACACAATGGTGAGGGATGTTTCCACTTGGAAACTAATTATCAAGCTAAGCTGTGACTTCATCCTCATCAGCCTGGCCCCGCCATTAATCTTGTGCTGTCGTCCACTTCACTAAATCCTGTGTTACACTATCTCACATTTACTTCATCAGCTCCAGCGCGGCTGTAATTAATGATTTCTCATGTCCCTTCCCTACCCCAGCTCAGCTCACCATGTGTCCTCCTGCTAATCACGCTCTCCGAGAAAAGGAGAGGAGAGGAGGAAGGAAAAAAAAGAAAAAAGAAAAGACAAGAGCATATAGGATGAGCAGCCAGCCTGTCTCCACCCTGGAAAACACACACACACACACACACACATATACACACACGCCATTAATACCTTCGCTGACAATGAGCTTCATTCAGATGACCATATGACAAGATGGCGACTCTGTGTGATTTGGATAGTATGTGACAGAAGACAGAGGCAGAGTGCAGAACAGACACCCAGTTTGATGAGGGAGTGTTTGCTCTGTAACACATCTCAAACCCAACAGCACCTGTTCTTTTTACAGTGGTCTGTCACTTCCTGGCAGTTCTGATACCGAGATACCGTGCTAATGAGAGAGAAGGGGGGTTGTCACTCTCTTTAAAGCACACACACACACACACACGAACCAACTCTTTCTTTCTCTTGCTCACACAAACACACTGCACACAGTTGATTTTCCTCCTACGAATGCCTGCAGGCTACAGCGTTTCATCAGAAATGGGGAGGACTTTGTGGCGCTTGTATTTGCTTTGCATGATCTCTAACTTTCGCTGGCTTCTGAAGATGAAGTTGATTGGAAACTTGAAAAGTTAAACGTACAGAATCTGACCAGAAAAAAGGCTCCCGGAGATCTACAGCGCTGTGCAAGGTGCTAGATTGAGCTGTTTGAGAGAAGAACTGGGGGAATAAAAGTCAAGTGTTTTGGAACAGAAGACGGCGCTTGTAGGAGAGAATGGCTGCCTAGCCTGGCCATGCTTTTATTCAATTGGGGCTTAGTGGAGCCAACAGGGCCTCGCTGTCTCAGACACTTAATTACAACCCCAAGACCATTTGCTTTGCATTCTGGGCCAGCGGCGTCAGTGGCAGCCGAGCGTTGCAGCCTCTACTCACTTCCTCCTCGATCTCTGCCAGGGATTTGATCGTAATGCCCATTAAATTGACTTGCTGCATCTGAAATCAAAAGCAGGGAGGAGGAGGAGGGAGAGGAAGGAGAAGAAGAAGAAAAACACACAAGAAACATGGCGGTTAGGCTCATGGCTAAGTAAGCATGCTTAAAATCTTTAATCCTCTCCCTCTCAGTGTCAATACAAGCGGGGCCATAGTGACAACCGCTGCCAGCCCGCCAAATCGACTGCATTGAGCCAGCTCTGCCTGACTGCACGCATTCATCACTCAGTCTGGAGGACAGGAAAGGGAAGAAAAGGAGCGCAGAGGAAAGGAGAGGAAAGAAAGGAGAGGAGGAAAGGCTAACGGCATGACAATAATGTGGCCCATACTACACAACAGGTTGCAGGACAAGTAGCTGTACAGTAACTGTCATGACCACTCTCACATTATTTGTAATTAAGCATTTGGTCACTTAAGTTTGTCAAAGAAGGTTTACCTCTTTGGGGTTTTCATAAAACTTCTTAGGGATCGCAAAGGGCACATCGTCCAGAGCTGCAACAAAGAAAGAAAAAAGAAAGTATAAGGTTGACAAATAAATATACACATTACTCCCTATCCCTGATCCTGAGCATTTCCACAAGACTAAGCGTGGGTTTATAAAACGGCAACGCTATCAACATCCCCAGCCACCCCGACGCCGCCCCCCCCCCCTCCCTCTATGGAGAGAAGATGAAAGGCTTTTTTATTCTGCGCTGTATTTGAGCACCTCCACTCTCTCCTCCAGCCCAGCCCTCTCTCAGCCCTCTTCCAGTTTAATTACTCTTGATTATTCCCGATTCCGTCTTGTCTGTGAGATGTTCACCTCGGAAACAAAGGCACGCTCGCACAAGGCACAGAAAAGCGGAAAAAGAAGAGAAACAAAACATTCACCAGATATCAAATTTGCATGAAAATAAGCCACACTGTTCAGCCGGCAAAAAGTGGATTGAAATGAGGACTTGCCAAGAGCGTGGTGGTATAATTAGCATTTGACCAAACAAACGAGCTTCAACAGAGCTATAATTAAGCAGGCCTGTAATTAAGTGTATGCCCTTTATCATAATGATCGTGGTTAAAATGGTGTGATGGCTGCCAGTTGATTATTAATGGTGTAACCCCGTACTGCATGCATCCTGCACTGGAATCAAGGTGTCACGACTGTCAGGCTAGAGAGCAGCTCTTTGTTTATAAAATACATTAGGGCCCAAATTAACACAGGGTGACAAGGGACACAAAGCCTCTCGTTTCCAGACTGAAGGGAAAACTGCAGCTGCTCGGCTTCATTATAAAACTCCCGAATCTGGAGACACAAAACTTGCTGCCGCTGGCTTTGACAGGAGCCCCCAAAATATCAAGAGGCCAAGCTTCCAACTGGTGTCCTTTTACCCACAGTCCATCAGGCCTTTGGCACAGGAAAGGGAACTCATAAATGTGAGCCGAAGCTGTTCATGAGTCATCGTTTTGGAACCGACACTCCTTTTGGCCTTTTCCTGTTCACAGCAATATTATAAAGTATGAAATTCTAAAATATACCTCACATTGACACTTATGTGACTTGCTTTCCTGTCTTGGTTATTACACAGATGCACGGTTTGGCACTTTCCACACGAGTGAAGTAGAATGTGATCTTTGTAATCAAAGCATGACCTTCACGCCCGTGACCACAGGGAAGATTATTTAGTTTCCTGGCTTTCAATCACCTCCCTCAGCAGAGTCTGCAGCCACGCTAGCCGCTCTGTGAGGCTGTACTGGGGCACAGCAGTGCTTTCTTTAAAGTCAACAGCGACGACAGCAATGCTAATGATAAGCAGGTTAGATGTTTACTAAGTTCAACAAGTTCGTTCCCAATAACTAGCACCACAAATTACAAATAGTGCCGGTATTTAGTCACTAACCAAAGTGTTGAAAAAATTGAAATTTTGACCTGATGATGGCGCTAGATGAACATTTAAGGGACCCCCAAAGTTATTACCATTCATCCTGAAGGGGACATTAGTGTCCATCCATCCATTAGTTGCTGAAATATTTCACTCAAAACTACAAATATCTTATATCTTAATAATCATTAGGATTGTGTCTGGGAACCATTGATGTCTGTACAAAATGATATGATAATCCAATAGCTGCTGAGATATTTAAATCTGGGTCAAAGTGGAGGACCAACAGACCATCCCTCCAGCCTCTCCACTAGCACGGCTCAAAAAGTGCAAGGAGTGAAAGGATTATCCTTCTTCCAGCCCCAGCCCTTACACCCACCTCCCTGTAGCGCCTTTAGATATGTGGCCATCTGAAGCAGCAAGCACACCAAGGTGATTGGGTAGGTCCAATGACTTGTTTAAGCTCATAAAAACAAGTGAACAAACACGCACTGCTGTGTCGCTGGGAGCACCATTGCTAGGCAGAGGCAGGCAGGCAGGGAGAATACATTTGAATCAATAGCCAGCAATGGGAAGCCGAGATTGTAGCCGCTGATGGATCTGCGTGGCGCGGACAGATGAATGCAGAGCTGAAGGCCACAGAGTTTCTTTATTGCTCAAGGATTACATTTAAAACCAGGTCTCACTTTGTATTCCACCACCATCTATACTAGAGAGGCTATCTTACATCCAGACAAATGGAGACGCGTGGGAGATGACTTGGTGGTAAGAAATGGATGCCATGGAGAAACCCGAAGGTGCAAAGGGCAAAAATAATGTAAATCCAATCTTCTGACCAGGAATCCCCACTATGAAGCATGTTCTAGCTGCTCAAATGGCCGGGTTACAGTCCATTAACTCATGATTGTATTGCAGTGTGGGGAATTGGGTAGTTATTTGGCTTTTGGAGTATGTGAGTGCAGTCAATATGAAAACATCTGGCAGGAATTTTGGTACAATGACTATCATGATGATGATGATGATGATGGTGGTGGCGGCGGTGAGCGCAGAGGTGGCGTTAAGTAAGGAGGACCCTGTGGTTTGAGTGATTGTAGTGTAAAGAACGGAGTCAGCACAGGCCCCGTGTGGATCATTGCCTTATTAATGACTCCGTCAGGTGCGATGAGCAATGGCTGCATTGTCATCTGCAGCCCCTGGGCACAGATGAATGGCTGTTTCAGGGCGGGAAGGGCTCCCTCGTACGCTGGGCTGAGCACTAATCCCTCACTCTTCCATTGTTGGATGCACTGTCACCCAGGACTTCAACAGCGCCATACATTGCATTTCCAGGATTCTAACAGACGTGGCCGTGCGCACGGGCGTACATACACGCACATAAACCACACCGAGTTGCGCTCCGACACTGACTGATGTAAAAAAAATATGCGCGGGTGATCGAGCATACCGCACATTACCTGAACCACAACTCAAGAGTAACACTTTAGGACTGTTGATGAACTTTTATTTTACACTTCACTAATTCAGCAGAATTGCATTGATCTCTGTCTAGTACGATTACTTGGGGGTGAATCTGTCTCGCACCTGAATTAAGTGAGAAAGTCACAGTCACGGGGCAATAATCTGCAAGCGCAAATGAGCATCTACTGCAACTTCTCTACTCGCGGTTGAGCTGATTTCTATTGTTTAGTCCCATAGAATGATAAGACATAATAAGTAAAGTCGCTCAAAAACACGTTAGAGCTTTATTTGCATCCAGCTGTATTTCATATTCCAAACAAGTGGATGTTGGCTGTTCTCTTTGTCTAGCCGGGCTACACATTGCAATGCCTTTCCTGTCGGGGTGACTCTCAATTTGAGGCGGATTCCTTACGCAGACCATGGAAATGCTATTCTAGTTGCAGACCGCGCTCTCTGTCACCTCTGCAGATAATGGTGAGTAGATGAACAGAGAGCTGGAGGAGGACCCCCTATGCCCACTCACAGCCCTTAGCCCCTCTCTGACATGAGAAATAGTGCCCAGGCCTGACAGCATCTCGGAGACATATTGTAGTTTATTTTGTCGCCCGGGCATGCCATCTGTGCCATTCCAATAGAGGGTGTGTGTTCAGGCTGCTGCTCGAGAGAGGGCGCGAGGCTCCGGGTCCCTCAGTAGCTCTGCAGCCACGGCAGGTCATTAGTCAAATTGCCTAATGAGAGAGAATACAAATGGCCCCCTACCCTGACAGGAGGAATTTTGGAGGTGTCAGAGCTCCTGACCCGTGCTATGAGAACAGATGATAGCGAGTTGCTATTTTCAGATTCTTTTAATGACTATGGCTCTATGAAACCCATTATTTTTCTTTTATCTTTTTCAAGCCCTCTCGACAGACGAGTGAAGAAAAATTCCAATGTGTTAGAAAATCTCACTTGCAAAAGTGGAAGTGTAACTTTTAAATTATTTAAATGTTTACTGAGGAGTCAATTAACATTGTAAAACATGTACAACATTGATAGTAAAAAAGATCACGCACTGAAATGATGTTGAGGGTTTCCGATTATCTGTTTGTATTTGTTATCCGGCTGTGTGCGGCTCGTTTCCCAACTCGGTGCTCTGTGCACGCTTCTGTTGCAATCCTCCTGACAGCAAGTCAGTTAGTTTATGCTAAAATATTAATTTAATCTCATCCAATTGTAAACAAATCTAAATGTTTACAATGCTAAGAGTAGTATGCAAGACATCCAGTGGATGGATGTGGCTGCTGCACATTCAGGTTTATGGAGAGAAAGTGTGGAGGGAAAACAGAAGAGAAGCACCAAGGGAGCGGATCATTATACACAAGCTTTCTGCTTATCCACTCTTATGAATACGTGTCAAAAGAAACGGTGGAGTATAATCTTACATTTCAACTTATTCTGAAAGCTTTATGAAATGTCATGAATGCGCCATCAAACATACAGCTAAAAACAATAACTAGAAAATGGCCTTTCAAATTTTAACTCGTGTTGAACGGTTCAATTTATATGACAGATACTAAAATAAGAATAAAAATACTTAAATACAAAAAAAATAGACTTAAATGCCATCTACAGTCAAATTTCTCCAACATTTTTTTTTCGTTACCAGAGGGATGCAAAATGGCACGCTTATGCAGAATGACCCACTTACTTTTCCATCTGTGACAAGCAGTCTTTGAAATCTGGTTGTGGGGAGGGAGCCAGGAGGCAGCCCCAGTCGGGCGCCGGTCCATCAGTCTTCCAGAAAGTGGGCAGAGCCAGCAACACCTATGGTGAGCTGGCCACAAACACCGCTGCATAACATTATGCACTACAACGCTATGAGGAGGTGTGTGCCTGTGTGATAACTTCTCCAATATGGGCACTGTATATGTCATGCATATATATATATATATATGTAAGAGCTAATTAAAGTCTTCAGTGGTCTGGTATAATTACAAAACTTGTATTTTCTAAAAGCAGTCCGTGCTGGAGAAGCACTGGGAGAGCCCTTCTTCCTGGCTCGGTATTGAAAGCTCTCATGAAATTAAATGGACAATCAGACTTTAATCAGCAGCACAGTGTCTTTTAAGACATTGCCATGGCACTGGCATTGATCCCCAGCTGTGGCTGCTGGTAAATGTGCAGCAGAATGTGTGTATA